AAAACAAACAAACAAAAAAAAAAACAAAAACTAGCCAGGCATGGTGGTGGTGCACACCGGGAGTCTCAGCTGCTTGGGAGGTTGAGGCCCAAGAACTCGGGAGGTGGAAATTGCAGTGAGCCCAGACAGCGCCACTGCAAGCCAGCTCACTCTATCTCAAAAAAAAATTAAAAGTGGCTCACACCAGTAATCCCAGCACTTTGGGAGTCCGAGGCAGGTGGATCACAAGGGCAAGAGATCGAGACCATCCTGGCCTACATGGTGAAACCCATCTCTACTAAAAATACAAAAATTAGCTGGGCGTGGTGGTGCATGCCTGTAATCCCAGCTACTAGGGAGTCTGAGGCAGGAGAATCACTGCACGCCAGCCTAGATGATAGAGTGAGACCTTAGTTTAAAAAGAAAAGAAATTGAGGCCCACCGTGATGGCTCAGGCCTGTAATCCCAGCACTTTGGGAAGCCGAGGCAGGAGGACCACTTGATGTCAGGAGTCCAAGACCAGCCTGGCCAACATAGCAAAACCCCGTCTCTACTAAAATATGAAAAGTAGCCAGGTGTGGTGGCAGGTGCCTGCTACTCAGAAAGCAGAGGCAAGAGAATCGCTTGAGCCTGGGAGGCAGAGGTTGCAGTGAGCTGAGATCACACCACTTCACACCACTGTACTCCAGCCTGGGTGATAGAGCGAGACTCTGTCTCAAAAAAAAAAAAAAGAAAGAAAGAAAAGAAAAAGAAACTGAACTTGAATCTTTTCTCCAAGGTCCTGACTTATGTCTCCCAGTTCCCTGCCAAGCACTGGGAGGGAATTTACATATGTCTCCTCTATTGAGGCAGTCCCTCTTGCTGCCAGGTGGGGGCAGGGTTGCTCTTTGAACAAACTTTCCAGCCCTCTCTAAGAGCAAAATCATTTGGTAAGGTAGGACAGTAAATGAATTTGCTGGGAAAAAATCCCTTAAAAATTTACAGCCTTCCCAACATAAAGAGGCAAACTGAAAAAATACTTATGTAGGTAGCTAAGTGTATACCGAGTCCTATTTGCAAATTGTATTCTGCTAGACAATAGAGATAATGGGATGATTTACCTAAATAAAATCAAACCCCAGGGCGTTTACTGTGGGTGGGAAGTGGCAGATTAGGCTTGGGGAAGGAGTGGTGATGGGGAGGCAGGGCTTCTTTTCCTGTAGAGACAGGGGTTTCATCTTACTGTGTTGCCCAGGCTGGTCTCAAACCTCTGGCCTCAAGGGACCCTCTCCCCTTGGCCTCCCAAAGTGCTGGGATTACAGATGTGAGCCACTGGCCCTGTCACAAGCAGGGATTTTTTTTTTTTTTTTGAGACAGAGTCTCACTCTGTTTGTTGCCCAGGCTGGAATGCAATGGCACAATCTCAGGTCAATGCAACCTCCACCTCCCGGGTTCAAGCAATTCTCATGCCTTGGCCTCCTGAGTAGATGGGATTACAGGCACATGCCACCAGGTCGGGCTAATTTTTGTATTTTTAGTAGAGACAGGGTTTTCACTATATTGCCCTGGCTGGTCTTGAACTCCTGACTTCAGGTGATCCACCTGCCTCAGCCTCCCAAATTGCTGGGATTACAGGCCTGAGATACCACACCCAGCCTACTTTTTTTTTTTTAATGCCCTCTTCTCTAGTGAATTCTAGGTCACTACACAAAGGTTGCAAACTCACAATCGTGGGTCACCTTTGGCCCACAGGCATATTTGGGTTTTCTTATTTGTTTGTTTTTGAGACTGGATCTTGTCTCCCAGGCTAGAGTGCAGTGGCCTGATCTCTGCTCACTGTAACTTCCGCCTCCTGGGTTCAATTGCTTCTCCTGCCTCAGCCCCCTAAATTGCTAGGATTACAAGCTCCACCACCACGCCTGGCTAATTTTTGTATTTTTCTTAGAGACGGGACCCCGTTGACCAGGCTAGTCTCCTAACCTCAGGTGACTCACCCACTTCAGCCTCTGAAAGTGCCAGGATTACAGGTGTGAGCCACCAATGCCCAGCCAAAAATTTTTAATTCAACATTTTAAAATGGGTAAATACACTATTATGGACTTCTGGATTCTCTTGAAAACTGACTATCTGATCACACAGAGACAATATGCTCACAAAGCAACCATCAGCTGGAGCTGTGAAAGGGCTTGCCCAGTTCACCAGAGTCCCAACTCAGTTCATTTCCCTTACCCACATTACTTACCTGATTTCTATAAGTGAGTTGGAGACCCCCAGATCTAAATCCCCTCTTTTCCATTTCCACTGCCGTTACACTTGTTAGTATTGAATCTTCTTGCCTAAGCTACTATGGCAATCTAATTTATCTCCTTGTCTCCATCTTATCCCCCCATGTTTTATCACCTTCCTACTTAAAAACTCTCTCTGGTTTTTTTCTATCAATAATTCAAATGATTTAGCTTTGCATTCAAGGTCCTGCTTATCTGGCTTTCCCCAGGAAATACTTTCCAGTTTTATATTCTAGTACTCCCCTTTTGCCCATCTTTCATGAATTATATCCATACACGTCCTTCTTTTCCTAGCACCAAGCCTGTGCTCAGTGTTTCTTTAACTGGAATTCCCCTCCCAAGTCCATCTACCCTTTCAGGCTCAGACATTCTATAAAGCACTTCCCAACTGCCATTCCTACACAAAGCCTTCCCAGCCTTGTCTGTCCACTCTGGGCCATCTTGATTTCCCATAGTTTATCTGTCCCACTTTGTCTTTTGGGTTTTTTTGTTTTGTTTTGTTTTAAGATGGGGTTTCACCATATTGGTCAGGCTGGTCTTGAACTCCTGACCTCAGGTGATCCGCCCACCTCAGCCTCCCAAAGTGCTGGGATTACAGGTGTGAGCCACCACCCCCAGCTGTCTTTTGTTTTTTGACACAAGGTCTCACTCAGTCATCCAAGCTGTAGTGCAGGGCAGTGGCTCGATCACAGCTCACTTGCAGCCTCAACCTCCTGGGCTCAAGCAATCCTCCCATCTTAGCTTCCCAAGTAGCTGCAGCTACAAGCACGCACCACCATTCCCGGCTAATTTTTTCTTTTCTTTCTTTTTTTTCCATTCATAGAGATGAGTTTTTCACTATGTTGCTTAGGCTGGTCTTCAACTCTTGGGCTCAAGAGATCCTCCAGCCTTGCCTCCCAAAATGCTGATCCAGGCCGGGCATGGTGGCTCACACCAGTAATCCCAGCACTTTGGGAGGAAAAGGTGGGAGGATCACCTGAGGTCAGGAGTTCGAGACCAGCCTGGCCAAATGGTAAAACCCTGTCTCTACTTAAAAAGAAAAAATTAGCTGGGTGTGGTGGTGGGCACCTGTAATCTCAGCTACTCAGGAGGCTGAGGCAGGAGAACTGCTTGAACTCAGGGGGCTGGAGATTGCAGTGAGCTGAGATTGCGCTATTACACTCCAGCCTGGGAGACAAGAGCAAAACTCCATCTCAAAAAAAAAAAAAAGTGCTGAGCCAAACACCAGGCCTATCTCATTTTCTGTCTATTTTGCTACAACTTTTCAGTCCTGGACTTAGGCTACTTATACTCAAGTCTTAATTTCCCAACAGATGAAAACCTCCTAGAGGGCAGAGTGTCTTATCTTTCCCCCCATATGTTTTATCATGCACAGAACAAGTGCTTAATGATTAGTGAATAAACTTATTCCAGTCTAAAATAACTTCCTTCAAACTGCAGTTCCCTCAGCATTTATGCACAGTGTCAATGTTCCCCTGGGGTATGCATGGGAAGTGTCCCCAAGAGAGTGAAAATTGGGCCAGATGAGAGATGAGAAACAGCACCCAATTATTCCATTTGTTTCCTGTGTATTTGCTTGCCCCCACCCCCCAACTATCTTGAGAACAGAACTGAGTGATGTAAAAGTAG